GCGGGCTGAAGAGACAACTCGGGTCACCGTGTTGGCCCGGTATTTATTCTTAAATTGAAGCACATTTTAATGTCAGAGGTTGACAACATATTAGTGGTGAATGGGTTGGTGGAATTGGCTAGCACTGGTAACTTTGGACAAAGGCACTGAATTCCCCTGGTATTCGCTACAGTTAAAAAAAAGACTACAGTTCAGAACTCAGAACCATGACCCCTGTTGTTGGTACCTCCGTGGAGCTTGAAGTGAAGCAGCAGTGGCGGGTGAAGAGAGCTCCCTGGTGGTCAAACAGCACCTATTCCATTTTGCCCACAACAAAAAGAGAACAAACTTACGTCAAATTGGAAATGGAAGGACAGAAAAATTAAAATCTAATTGTTGACACTCACTTGAACACCAACTGGATTCATGATGTCGTCCTGTCTTGATCATCACAGAATGAGTCATCTGTTCCCTAAAATAAAGTGTAGTGTAATGATTTATCATATTAAACAGTGAGTTTTTTTTCATTTATTACATCACAAAAACCTGGTTTTTGAATAGGGGTGTGTAGACTTTTTGTCACCTGTACATAAGGGTTAATAAGGAATTAAAAACAATAAAGAAGCATGGCCGTCATTTTTGTAATGAAATTAGGCCCAAATTACTTTTAGGTGACTTGAACACATTTGCAAATGATACAGAGAGATCAATATTTTTTTTTTTTTTTTCAGACGGGGGCAATAAGTGTCATTTGTGGCTGTTTGGCACCCAAGCGGCGTCAGTTGACTTCCCTGACAACCCTGACAGGTTGCAACCTGCCTAGCAGACTGCTGTGAACACACAATCACAAACAGTCGGTCACTCCATGGGACAATAAACACTCCATCCCAACAGGGACGCTTGAAAACCATAATTGGTGGTTCCAATTAAATGTTTTGGTAATATGTTCTCCCCAAATGCTGGGTGAAATTAACTACAAGTCTGGGTTGTTTCAACTAGATGCATTTGTTTGATATTTTCCCCAAATGATGGGTCAAATGCACTAGATTCCTTCGTTGTTTCAACGATTGTACATATTGTTTTTCAGTAATCCATCCAAACGCGACCACATTAAGCAATTCCCCAAATTAATTCTGATACATGACAGTATAAAATCTGTAAATATTAATTGCATTCGATTACAAATTCAGATAAAACTGTTAAGATTGCAAATCCTAAAGTGACGCTACTTTTGTTCACTCAACACATACATTTCGCAACAAATAATGTGAAAATAAATTTGAACGGCCATTTTACAATTTGGCTTCGTAAATTCAGACAGCAGGGGGCGCATGTCTGGTGCTGAAAATGACGGAAAACCGAATGACGGTATATTTAGCCAAAATGAGTGTACGTGTATATTGAGCTGTCTTTATGCGAGCAACTTGACAAGGAGGCTAAGTCAACATAAACATGACAGTTGGCATTATGAACAAATTTCGTTCATATATTCTAAAAATGGCTTGGTGACGGAAAACCTGTGTGCTGACGTCAAAATGGCTACCCACGAAGTTAGAAACACTTACCGACATACGACTTCAATAGAAAACGCAATACACACAATGTGAATCATATGTACTGGTAACAAACTCATCAATGTACCTCGCCAAGTGAATATATTTCTCCCGGCGGTGATTTTTGTGCTCATGGAACCTGGACCCCATTGTGTGTACGTCAAGTCTCAGGTAGCTTGATGGAAGGCTATCGACGTGAGATGCGATGACGTCACGCGCACGCACGTACGTCAACCAAACGCTCGATTCAAAATACCGCATAATGCAAATACTGTACCCGTTTTGAGTAGATAAAACAACCAGTTTTGAATTGAGGGATTTTTACCTTGTTCAAAAATAACTCAAAATGGATTACGTCATAATCCCGCTGTTGGATGAACTAAACAAAAAGTGTGGGATAAAGTTGCACGGCTGGGTGGACAACTGGTGAGCGTGTCAGCTTCACAGTACGGAGGTGGAGGGTTCGATTCCGGCTCCTGGTTTTATCTGTGGAGTTGTTCTACCCGGAGACTGGCTGGCAACCAGCTCCTGCCCGATGACAGCTGGGATAGGCTCCAGCATGCCCCGTGACCCCCTGTTGAGGATAAGCGTATCAGAAAATGAATCAATGGGACAAGGTGCAACCTGCCCAGCCGGTTTATGAGAACATGCAATTAGCAACTTCAGAAGACAATACACATCCCACCCTGAAAGAGACACTAAGAAACATGTCCCGTTAGGCTACCGATGTCATTTTAAATAAATGGCGGCCTTCAGCTCTGAGTGTTGCAAGGAATTTGTTGAATAGCAGGGAAGTAAAAGTAAAACTACAACTAAATTAGATCCCAAATCTGCTTTACACATTTTAGTGAGTCTGCATATTTTACTTTATCAATTGCTTTCCATCTTCATTCAATCCAATGTTGATGTTTTAACAAAATGTTGCTCCTTCACATTGCCCGGTGTCATAAATATGAGGATGCATGCTTTTGGATGTTTTGATGTTCATCTGTGTGACTTATTGCTGTAAAACCACATTCCCCCAATGTGGGACTTAAAAGCGCTTGTACTATTCTATGAGTCAGAATTCTAAATTGGCGGGCAACTAAAGTCCATTACTCACACACTGCTGATGAGGAAGGACTATTTTTACAAGACTCACAGTCATTCTCTGTGGGGTTTTGACATGCAAATGGTTTATTTAATGATGAAGTGAAACATAAGTGAAAAGATTTGCATTTCATTCATGTGGTCACTGTTATGGCTTGTTTTTTTTGTGATTAGTTCAACTGGCCAGACGACACACAAAAAAAAAAAAATCCACTCTAACATTGTTCGTGTTACAGTATTTACATAAGTAAATTACTGGCACGTTCTGTTTGAAAAGTCTGTAAACATTTTGATTTCATGGTCACATTTATTGCCATAAGCTTTAATAAAGGCACTTTTTAAAGGCCTTAAAAGTGCTACATTTTCACTCCATTATATTACCCTAACAAGCTTTGTAAATCTACAAATTAAAATCGGAATCAATTCCTGGTTGATGTAATGGCCGATCCACTCATGAAACAACAAGCAGATTTTTAACTGCAGGTTAATAAACTAATTGGTAAAAATAAATAGCCACTCATTAAAAAAAAGTTTTACTTCTGATACTCAAGTACATTGTTGAGTACACACTGTTCCCGTCCATTTGCACAACTCAATATGAATTCCTCATACTTTGACAACTGATATTCATATAATTCTTCATACATTGAGAACGACAGACTTAAGTTGACTTGTTCCAACTTGTCTACCTTCACTCCAATTTAAAAGGGGGAAGGGTCTTTCATGCTTGCAATCACGTCTTCGCTCTGCATACAACCTGATTTAAAGCGCTCATTTAGTTTTGTGTGTGTGTGTGTATTGGAGGTTGCTGTTCAAGTTCTGTTTGCATACAGGGCGGGACCCCCCTCTTTCAGCGCATTTTTGCCGCTGCGACCCCTGCACTTTTAGCGCCACTGCACGCCCCCAGCAGCCCATCTCCTCCTCCTTCCATCTGTCTCTTTCAGGAGAAACGATCATTTTATTGCAGAAACAACAGCCCACTGCCATAAAGTGAAAAAGACACAAATTAATACCACGTTTGGAGGGAGGTTGGTAGTGTTTGCGGCGACACACATGAGCACAAGTTTGTTGATGGTCAAACAAAGATCGTCTATTGTTGCGATGCTTTGCTCGGCTGGTAGAAAAACCAAACAAAACAAAACATAACAAAAATCCCGAAATATTCCGCAAAATCGGAATACTGTACTGAACTCTGATATCATGTTGGTACACGTTTCTGCGCTACACGCTTCTGCTTCCTTATTAGGAACCTTTAATGACATTAAGTGTCAATTCTTGTGGTGATATTCCTGAATATGAAGGACTAAATAATAATATGTAATTGTCTCACTGAGTTTTCTCATTTAACAGCTCCAATAATAGATTTTGTATTGATTTTAGAAGCGTAAAATTCCACCAATGTAATCCCCCCCACCAAAAAAGAATAACATAACTTCCAAACATATAAATAATATGCCATATAACATCATGAATAATCACGCAATAACAAGTACAATAATGTATATCAAATAAGTAATCCAGAAATAATAAATTACATTTAAAAACTATTATCATCATCATCATCATCATCATCACAACAGACTACAAAATAAAATACGACAATAAACACAAACAAAATTAAATTGTATAACAAGAAAAATGGAGAGAGAAAAAAGCAATGGCAATCAAACAAAGTATTCCATAACAAAAGTAATGATACAATACATTCATCAAATACATAATAAGATACGATTCAAAGACAAATCACATGCGGTGATTAAAAAAATTATCATAAACACGAAACGTTTATAAATAAACTAGTAGAGTAACTCTTAAAAACAACTAATATTATTTTATCAATAGCAATAAAAACATTAGCATACACTGTATTTATAAGCCGACTAATATTAAGTCGAATCATATAAATATGAAGACCAACGTCTCTTTTAATGTCTCCTTTGTTATTTGATCTTGTGAGACCTCTTCGTTGGTGGACAAGCTTTGCGGCAGCGCGCCTGTTGCCCCGCCAACACAACTCTCGAGAGGCGTGGTCGGCGGTTCGCGCCCATTGGTGAAAACCATTGGGGAGAAGGCAAGTACGGCCTCTCCAATTGGCCTGCGTTTACGTGACGTCACATCAAGCTCTACTCCGATTGGCGGTCTGGCCCCAGATGCCGAAGAGCGCCAGAAAGCAAGCTTGAGCGGGTGATGCTTGAGTCTCCATGGGACAGTGCGCAAATTCCTTCACCGGGACAGGTAGTTCTTTTCTGGGGCTGGCCGTTTATTTTTAAGAGGGAAAATTATCTGCGATGGCGGGTTGACGAGCGGACAGGACGTTGACTTTCTTGAAGAGGACCGAGTCTTGGCTTTGACGACTCAAAGAGCGCCAAGGTGGGGGACATTTTCAGCTTCTAACGCCTGATTTAAGTTTGGACGAAGCGCCAATATTGCGTAATTATCCAACGATGTCGACAATTGAAAGATATTGGCTACTTTACTTTACGATCAGAATAACATGTGAAGTTATGGTCGACCTAGTGTGTTTCCTGAGTCATTGGAGTGACTAGGGACGAGTTTCCTTTTAAGTTACATAACCAGTATGTGATCTAAGTGCTGATTAAAAACGTATAGTGACCGTATATGCGATAAATGAGTAACTTAAAGTACTTACTTACATTGGTGAACGTTTAAGTTTGGATAAAGAAGAGCGCTTCCAAGGAGCTAGTTAGCTTTGCGCCAAATTCAGATGCCCTCTTGGAGGGTTTTTTTTTCCTTGGGTTATTTTTAACATCTCCAGATTTTTACCACCAACTGATATTGTTTGTACTGTTATGTAGGTTCCCCCCCCCCCAAAAAAAATGGAAGTAGAATGTCTTGCACTCAAGGATCTTACAAGTTCAAGAAAAAGTGAACAGAAGGTAAGTCTGACAGATAATGAGGAAATTGGGGAAGAAAGTGTTTGAAACGTACTTCCATATAAGGCAATGGAGGAAAAATACAATCGCAGTCTGAAAATTGTCTCTGTTGCAGGAAAATATATTCACAGTGTGGAGGAAATCCACCCCAACGAAGTCTGCAGAGCCGTGCATACCCGTGATGAAGTGGAAAGGCGGCACCCCGGACGCGGGCCACGTCACGCCTATCAAACACACCGCTGAGGCCGAGCCCTGGTCGCCCACGGCCAACCTGAAGATGCTGATCAACGCCGCCAGTCCCGACATCCGAAACCGCGAGATGAGGAAATTCCTCTTTAGGCCGATCGAGAACGAATCGGAAAGTACGGCTATTGCCAAAGACGATAGCGGGGCAGCTGAAGTCCAGGTGAGAGATTTGCTTCGAAAGTCATCAAGACTTCTATTAAAACTGAACTCTGAAATAAAATACATGTTTTCTTACAGTTTGAAGCGGTGGAAGAGGATGACGATGCAGAGAAGAAACCGAGCAGGAAGCAGAAGAGCTTGGGTCTTCTTTGCCAAAAATTCCTGGCTCTCTACCCGGATTATCCACCTCCTGACAAACCAATCTCAATCTCCCTGGATGAGATAGCGACCAGTTTAGGTAAAAAACAATGGTAATTACAATGGTACCTTCACTTCCTGGTTTAAATCAACCTGTGAAGAAGATTGTAGTCAACTACACACACACCTCACGTGTTTTTGGGTGTGTGTGTGTATTGTAGCATTTTTCTAATTTAAAATGTCTCAAGTCAACAAAGGTTGGGGAACACTGGTGTAGATTTTTATGCGCGCCCGTTATCTATCCAGGGGTGGAGCGGCGGCGCATCTACGACATCGTCAACGTGCTGGAGTCCCTCATGATCGTGGGCCGCATGGCTAAGAACAGCTACACGTGGCACGGCCGCCTGCGCCTGGAGGCCACGCTGCAGGAGCTGCAGCGTCAGGGCCGCCAGCAGGGCTACCATCGGCACATGGAGCTTGCCACCAGGGAGCCTGAGCGGAGCCAGGAGGGTGGCGGCGGGGAGGACGACAACGGCCACGGTAAGAATCTACAATGTAGTGATGGCAGTCAGATGGCAGGGTTTTTTTTTTTTTTTTTTTTTTTGGGGGGGGGGGGGCATGGCCTGACTCAATGAAACTACTTCCCTAACTTCAACATAGTTCACTTTTTTTTTTTGACAAGGCGATAGCCAGCCTAAATGAAACTACTTCCCTAACTTCAACATAGTTCACCTTTTTTTTTTTTTTTTTTTGACATGGCGATGGCTTGACGAAATGAAACCACTTCCCTAACTTCAACATAGTTCATTCACTCAAGGATTATATTAGATAAGCAATATTTTTTAGTACACGTGGCTTTTCACAAAACTTTTCTCCCTATTTTACAATTTTAATTTCACAATGTTATTCGCAGCATCTGTAAACAGGAAAGACAAATCCCTGCGTATCATGAGCCAGAAATTCGTCAGCCTCTTCCTAGTGTCCAAGACGCAGACGGTCACGTTGGAAGCAGCGGCGAAGGTTCTCATCGAGGAAAGTCAGGACTTGTCCAGTCACGGCAAGTACAAAAGTGAGCACCGGCACCGCTGTGTTGCTTTGTTTCCCTGTTTTATAAAACTAAACACCCGCTTATCTTTCAGCCAAGGTACGACGTCTCTATGATATCGCTAACGTGCTAACCAGCCTGGGCCTCATAAAGAAAGTACACGTGCGAGAGGAGCGAGGCAGGAAGCCGGCTTTTCGGTGGCTGGGACCGGTGGATTTTAACAAATCTGGTGGGCATCTGTGACTTATTGATCATCAAGCTGCTAAGAACACACTTTATAGATCTGTTTACCTTTCATAGCAGATGCTGTTGTGGCTGTCGCCCCACCTGAAGCTCAGGACCTCAGGAAAGCTAAACTGGCACACCACGCCTCTTTTCACCTCACCCCGACGTGTGTGGCCGTCCAGCGGCAGATCCGCTCGGCGCCAAGTAGCCCGCGTGGGGACATCAACGGTGAGCGATGCCGCTTTCGCGCCGTTATTTTTATAAAACGACGGTGAGTTCATCCCACTTTTCTTCAACAGCGTTTACACCTCAGCCGCTGGATTATTCCAGAAAGGCGGGAGCCGGCGAGGCCATCTGCAGACTGCAATTTGGAAACCACAATGTGTGAGTTCTTGGGTCATGATGACACATTCATTTGCAAGTTTGATACACAGTTTGGAAATAACTAACTTGCTCAAAATTACCATTAAGGTGTTATCATTAAAAATAATAAGACAATGATAATGCCAATGACTTCTCACAATGGAGTTAGGGAGGAAGCATCAATATCAGATACAACAAAATCATGCATTGCTGCCATATTAAAACTATAAATATGACAAATAAATAATGTTTACTTAACCTTGGAACGGATTTCTAAAATGTGGGAGAAATGCTACAATTTTTTTTTTTTTTTTTTACTTGCGCAAGTCAATACCCCGCCAGTTGCCAGTGCAAAAAAAAAAAAAAAATTGCCGCACGTTGGTGGTTCCAAACTTCCGTGGTATTTCAGTGATGCAGTTAACAATAAAAAAAAAAATAAAATAGAAAATACATTTTAAATAGTCATTTTAGTTTTTAAAGGCAGAAAATATTTTGTAAATATTTTACGCGTGGTTAAATATTTCAAGATCAAAATTCATTTGTGCCAATTTCTGCAAAATTCAAATACTCTTAATTAAGTGCCTTTAGAAAGCACCACAGAATGTCAAAATAAAGTCCATCTTTTTCTCTGCAGAAACCCGGCTCCTCCAATCCCGCAGCCCACACTGCTGGTTCCCGCCCTACACTCAGAGCCGCTTTTTACGCTGTCCTCGTCCGCCCACTGCCTGGCTTATCTACCCAGCCTATCCCAGGCCTCTATGGTCATGCTGTACAACCAGCCCGAGGTGATGAGCAAGGCCGTTGGTGCTCTGGAGGCCCCCGGGTCTCCAAGGGAGGAATCGACCGAGCCGAGGAAGAGACGGAGGGAATCCGCGGAGGAAGAGGAGGAAGCGCCATTCAAGAAAAGCCCGTCTGGAGTTGAGCGAGCCGAAGAGGTGAGGCATTAAGCTAAAACGGATTTTCTTAGGAGCCTAAGAAAGCATATATTGAATTGGCCTGCTTGGCAATTGATTACGAGTGTTTATAAATGTGAATCTATTCATACTGGCATATTTTTGCACACCCAATTCATTTCAGAATTGATCAAAAACAATGATTAGAGCAGTTAACATTTCTTTTTTTTTTTTTCCCCCCTCGATTCCTCCCGCAGCCCATTTAGGCATCAAACTCGGAATGACTTTCTCACACTCTCTCTCCCCCATACATTGGAAATTAAGTTCATGTTCATTTATCCTTCAGATAGAGCAAAGAAAGATGTCAGAAGCATCAGATGAGAGCGTCACTGGCACCCAGGCGTCACACTACCTCTATGTCCCAAACAATACAGGTAACCCTACCCCCCCCTCAATTTGAGCACACAATGCAATTATTATACAATACAAAATGGATTCGGAAGATTTATTTTCCACCTTTTCCAGGTCTGAAAAGCCTCAACTTCCTGCTCCCCTCCGGGCAGCCCTCGACCCATCTCCCCACAAGCACCGTTCCCCCGCTGGCGCTGCCCTACGTACTGGTGCCGTCTGCCGCCCTCTCCCACTACCCCCTGCAGGGCACCGACGCTCAAGTGGGCTTCAACCTGCCCGCGCGCTTTATGGTGGCGGCCGCGCCGTACGGCCTGCCGCCTGAGCTTGGCCAGGTGTCACCTATTCCGTCACCTACCACGCCAGAACAGGGCGGGCGGGGTGCCACCGGCGTGCCGCTTCCTCCAACTGCACCGCAACCACTGGTAAGGAGACCTAGACGCGTAACTCTTCCCTGTTTAAGGGTTCAAATAAATCTAAAAAGATCTGCTCATCTGATTGTCCTTTCATAGACTCCGCACACGCCAAAGGAAATCCCAGTGCCCGCCTCAAAGTCTTTCTTCCAGACTCCAGGCACTGTGGAGGGTGTGACCGCGGCGCACACAGCCCGAAAGCGAGGCTCTGCGCAGAGGAGGCTGGATGTCAGCCACGCATCCCCTTGTTAGATGTCAAACGCTAACAGTGACCTTGAAAGCCTTTACCGGTGCTATTTAAAGTTAGGGAATTAAATTACATTGAACAATGAATTTATTACGTGTTAAAAAAAAAAAAATTGGGAAGCCATGTTGTTTGTGTGAAACGGCGCCATCCTGTGGTAGCTTTTGCCACTACATGATTTAAAGCCTTAATTTTCCTCTTCCAAATTTCAATCAAGCTACCTTCTCCTCTCATCACAAATGCTTCATCATTCCTATTTATGTTTTTTAGCTAATATATATTGATTACAGGGACTTTAAGAGAATACTTGAAGCACTAAGTGGATGTTTCTTCATTTGGACACACGTTATGAGAAGGAATCTGTGATTGGCGTATTTTATTTGATACACTACTACGAAGGTTAGGGATGGGAAAAAAAAGCCTGTGTGGCTGTGTGTGTTCTGTGTATCAGCTACCATAATGTTTCATAGTGAAGCATGACTTGACGATGCATTCAGGTACTTGAATTCTTTTGACTTTTACCATAGGGGTATTTACATAACTGTAAAGTACAGTTTCATGATGTTTGAGGTGATGCGTGGTTTTATTTTCGGGGAATGCAAACAACATGCATGGACTGATGCATTTGTGACATAAGTGCCTATATATATATGTTTTTCAGTTGTCTTGGCACATTTTTCTTCAGGTTGTTGATGAGTTACCATGGTAACCTCTTTCCCAAAATAACGGTGCTATGTACTGATTTACCAACCCACTGTGAACCATTAAGGAGGCCATACCAAAGCGTGCACGGACAACCATCATACGTGTTCATCCATGTACAGTTATTGTTGTGTAAATTGTATCATTTTATACTTTTGCGTTGTTGTATGTTTGTTCTACTGTTTTATTGCACTGTTAGTTTCAAGTATGAGCTCTTCAAAACTGGCCTTAGTACCAACTGACTGTAGCTGTGGGCCATAGCCTTTCCTACAATGACTGTCACATACTTTAATAAAAGTAATATTTCTGTGTCTTTTGTGTTTTGTTCTTTATTACCTGGTTAGGCAAATAAGATCCTTTTTTAAATCCTTCTATTGCACTGAGGTGGTTAAAATATTACGTTGACATATTTTACCCGTAGTTTAACGCTGTTGTGCCCTTCTACAAAATCCGACGGCCCCTGAACGCGACAGTTCGACGTTCACAGCTCCTAAGCCCCGCCCATCTTGCCGTAGGTGAAAACGAGCACTGTGGTACGTCACCGAGACATTACGGCGAAGCACAGTCGACGCGACGTCGTCCTTTGGAATTTTACAATCATAACATCTGGACCCTGCTTGCAATAACATCCACCAGAAGGTATTTTACTGTATCTATATTGCACACAGTTTCTAAGTAAACATGTCGAGTTGTTTTATTGAATCTTTCCAGGTACGTGGGTTACTTTATTTGTTTTATTCCAATGGATGTTTATTATGGTACACGTTAGTTGTAATGTGACGCAATCGGTGTGAAAGTAACAAACCGGTTCCCTTAGTTTTCATTACTTTCTGACCATAAACGCGCTACAAGCCCAAATAAATTGGAATGCTAGTACAGTATTGCTTTTAATGTTATAAAACAGTGGTTCTCAAACTTTACAAGGTACCACTCAAAAAGACTTAGCTCTCATCATGACCAACTTGCAGTTTCAAACTGCCTTAAATATAGATTTATGTAAGTACTTCAATTATTCACCTAAATTCACATACCATCATATACATACCACCTAAATGACATAACCATACCGCATAGCTTTGCCCTCCAAAAGTTGGCTCCCTTAATGCTAGCACTCAATACAAATCGCCATAGACGAGCTAATAAACTGATTATCAATGTTGCGATGTTATACAAAAACGATTGTTACGGTTTTGCGGTGGGCTGGACCCAATTAATAGCATTTCCTTTCATTTCAATGGGCAAAGATGATTTGAGATACGGCCACCACAGTACATGTGGAATGTTCACGACCGTAGGAACTTATAAACTCTTGATTAACCGAGTTAGTTTGACTTCATTAAACGCATCCTCCATTGCTTCAGTTATAAAAAAGGACAAACACAATGTGTTTAGATTTTGAAAATCACAAAGGTGAACTTCAAAAGTTGTTTTTGTGTGAAGTGTGAACCCTTGACTTTTTCTGTTGTCTATTATGCCGTTGAGTCAACCTGTCATTGTGTTGATCCAGAGGAAGACAACAACATCTGGCCAGATAATCGCATAGTAAGTCATGTCATCACCTCAAGGTCTTCGAATGGCCCAAATGGACACATTTTGGGGGCGGGTCAGGGTCTGTAATTACAGCCAGACGCAAGTGCCGCGGCATCAAGGGAGCGATTGTGACGTAATGTTTATTGAGAGTCTGCGGTCGAGCTCGCCACGACACCCCCCAATTCCCAGAGGAATTCTTCAGGGTATTAAGTCAAATTTATCCGGTTCTTTAGCCCCAGGTGGTGAGGAATGGAGATTTTTTTTTTTCCACCCAGAAGGAATGTCACTACACCCTACTCTCATTTCTATAGGAAAGAACTCGGAAACACACACGTGAGCAGGATAGGATTTTTCCATGAGGGCCGATAAAGTCTAAGAAACTGGAAAAGGGCCTTCAAAACTTGGGGTGAAAGCTTTTCACCATTCATGGGAAAGAGGGGAAAGTGTCACGATAACCACAGAGTCTGACTTGAAAAAGTTCTGGCTGCTCAGTCCAACATGAGCACATTGCCAAATATCAATTACTCTTACCGTACTTTCCGCACTATAAGGCGCACCTAAATGCATCCGATTTTCCCAAAAGCCAACAGTGCGCCCTAAAATCTATTGCGCCTTATATATAGTGTCGCAGTCTCTTTATAGTCCCAATTGAGCCGTCTCCCTGTTAGTGTTCCTCTGCCATCTAGTGAAGATTAATAGCAGGAAACAATTGTACCGTAAAAGGGTTCCCGACACTAATCGACACATGCATTCGCTAACACACACTCAAACAGACAATTACAGCCATGATCAAAAGAATATACCAAAAGCATAGTTAACTACTGACTAAATGAAGGAAGAAGGAGACAAGCAAGGATAGTTAGTCCGAAGCGCCTTATAGTGCAGAAAATACGGTATTACGTATTAATACGGGAATACGGTAAGAAAGTATTTAAAAGAAAACTCTTGTGTTATCAACTCCTCTTTGCTTTCCATTGGTCATTTTGTCATCTTGTCTCAGCCACGATGCCAAACTGGGGAGGAGGCAACAAGTGCACGGCATGCCACGGCACGGTGTACCACGCCGAGGAGGTGCAGTGCGACGGCCAGAGCTTCCATAAGGGCTGCTTTCTCTGCAGTGAGTACCTATGAGATAAGCGGGTTGTTGTGTTCCAGTGAGGTCATGCTGGGGTGAAAGCATGGACTTGTGCCCACCATCTCAGATGGAAACGCACAGATCTCACGCACAGACCGGTACCGACCGACCGGGGATGCGCTCAGAGAACCCGAGATGTTTCCTTTGAAAGTCTCACAAAGACGGGGCTTGTCGCATTCGTGCCGATGATGAGTCGTGGGACTTTGTGTCCTTGGCTCCATGCCTTTTTCTCGATTTTTTTTTTTTCCTACCCATTGACATTCATGAGCTTGGACGATCATTTTTTTCCCCCTACTCTGACAATAGACTCTTCCAGTCGAACTCAATGGTTTCCATTAAAAAAAAAAAAAAAAAAAATTGTACAGTAAATTTTATTTAACATAACCACCCCAAAAAAAAATACTGACAATATTGACTACTTAAAAAAAAAAAACAACCTAAGATAAGACATAAACAAAAAAATGACTTAATTAAAAAAAAAAAAAAAACCCAAGTAAGACTTTTGCGCATTGAATGAACCGACTTGTGCCTGCACGTGCATGTTGTCAGTGGTGTGCAGGAAAGGCCTGGACAGCACCACAGTGAGCATCCACGACCAAGAGATCTACTGCAGGTCCTGCTACGGCAAGAAGTACGGTCCAAAAGGCTACGGCTACGGCCAAGGGGCCGGCACCCTAAACATGGACCGAGGGGAGCGCCTGGGGATCAAACCGGAGCAGTAAGCGACGCACTCACAAGTCACTTCCCATTCTCAACAATAATAATAATAATAATAACAATAATGACAATAATAATAGGCCACTTTCAGTCTGTTGTTATGGAAAGAAGTTTTTTTTAACATAATATTAAAAAAATGCACAAAAACATGTTTTTGTAAAATTAAACAACAGTTTTCTTCAGCACATTTTTTTTCCCATCAAATAACAAATATTCTCCAAAAAAAAATTCCTCCAAAAAGAATTTAAATTTTTTATTCCCTTTCTCAAAAAAAAATTCCTGCAAAAAATATGGTGTTTTTTTTTTTGCTATGTAAAAAACAAACTTTTGTAAAAAACAAATTTGCGACTTTCAAAATCTGATTTTCATAAAATGATGAAATATATTCTCTTCAAAATATTTCTTAAAAATCTTTAAAAAGGAAAACGCTTTTTTTTCTAAAATGATTATTTCCATCTAGTTTTTTTTTAAAAAATGATTTTTTTTCCCCCATAAAAATAAGAACATTTTCATGAAAAAAGTCAACTTTATTTTCAATAGCTTTTCTACTAAATCATCTTTGTGAAAAGACAACCTCACTCTAAAATGGCGTTTTGTTTTCGGGTTTTTTTTAAATTCCCTGAAAAAAATAGAACTCCTAACGAAACCATATTTTGATTTAAAAAATATTATTTGACTTGAATGTCATATTATAACAATACTTTAATCTTGTAAAATATGCCTTTTCTTTCTTTTTCGTGTTTATCCGATCCTGGGGCATCCGCCGCTTATTGTTATTATTATGAAAGCATTTTCTTATGTAACGAGCTGCGCCGGACTCACAATGGGTCACAAAGAGCTTCATTCAAGTGGACTCTTAGTCACCCTCCACCGAGTGCAGCTCCAGAGCCTCTGTCTTGTGTTCCCGCTCTCTCCCGACAGGTCGCAGTCTCACAGGCCCACCACCAACCCCAACCCGTCCAAATTCGCCCAAAAATTTGGAGGATCGGAAAAATGCGCTCGCTGTGGCGACTCCGTGTACGCCGCAGAGAAGATTATGGGCGCGGGCAAGGTGACTTGTCCTCCACTTCATCAACACTAATTCACATTCCCATATGTTGACCATTTCTTCTCGAAAAAGTGAATATTTTTTTTTTTGTTGTTGAAGACAGCATGACATTTTTAAAAAAAAAGATACCGTGTGCTTCTCACACCCAAAAAAAATACTATTTTCTTGGAAAATATTTTTTCTCTTGAAATATATATATATTTTTTCCCCCTCCCAAAATGTGAAAAAAAATCCTGGAAAATGATCTCGTCCCCAAATTCTTTGAACCAGTTTTCCGTAAAAACAAAACAATACAAAAAAGACGGTCTTTCTTTTTTTTTGTGGTGCTGGGGTATGATCTATTTTGGCATTTTTTTTTTATATATATTTTTTTATATTTCACATTTCTTTCTTGAAAATCAAACAATTATTCCACCCAACCAATTGAAATATTTTTCTTGAACAAAATGTTTTTTTCCCCCTCAAAAAGTTTGGAGAATTTCCTCAAAAATACCTTTGTTATTTTCATTTTTTTTCTCAGTTTTCGCTTGAAAATTTTGACTGTTTTCTCAAAAATGTAACTTTTTTAACTTTTTTTCGGAGGGTTGTTAGTGTTGCTCAAAATATTTCACATCTTTACTGTTTTCTCAAAAATGTAACTTTTTAAACTTTTTTCGGGGGGTTGTTAGTGTTGCTCAAAATATTTCACATCTTTCTTGACATTTTTTTCAGACTTATTTTGTCCTGGGGGGGGAATAAAGACACGAAAGACCTAACTTTTTTTTTTTTTTTAATTGGAATATTGTAACTTCGGTCTTACAATTACAACTACACCTACCCAAACATTCCCAAATCTTTGTTTTCATTGGCTTCACTTGCAGTCCGCTACAAATGAGCAAAGGCAAACCTGCGACTACTTTTACGTGTTCAACTTGAACCCTTTGAGGGACAGCGATTACTACAGTGGACAGCTTATCACGTTATCGGTTTACAGGGTGCATGAAAGGCTTGATTCAAAAATCACAGCAATCCATCCAGGCAACAATCAGCTCAGTAAAGCATTCGTCCCAACAGCAATATCATATCAGTTCCCAAAAAAGTGTCAATGTCATATCAAGGCAGTATGAATGTCCTTAATAGATTAGTAAAATAAGAGTGCGACACGCGGTAAACTCACCAAGCTTTTCTTTAGCAGTGAAAACCCACAACCGGGGGCAGGGAGCCACTTGACCCCGTAAAAGGTCATCCATTTTCCTCATAAACATCCACCGGGAATGACATTTATATTATGTTCAACAACAATTTAATATCGGCTTCAGGTTTTGATTTGGATTGGAGTGTTTTTTTTCCCGACCAGCTGTCAGGCATATTCCACTTTCTGGGTACTTCCTGGAAAGGAACCAATCAGATTTCAGCATTCATACTATATGCTGAGACTGTTTTTTTTCCCATCACAATATGTACAAAATGAGGCTCCAGATTATGTGCATTCGCATTTGAATGGGAAAGCGTATCTGAGTATGTAATCGTGTAAATTTTTTTTTTTTCTGGTTGTCAAATTCTTATCAACTGCTTTAAAATGTACCTGTGTGCACGTTTGTGCCCCACAGCCATGGCACAAGAACTGCTTCCGCTGTGCCAAGTGCGGCAAGAGCCTGGAGTCGACCACCCAGACGGACAACGAAGGTGAAATCTACTGCAAAGGTGACAACGTCCAACTCTTGTTTTTTTTTTTTTCACCCTCAATACTAATTGGCCACAAAATGGCAGACAAGGCTTCGTTTGTTTCTCGGTTAGTGACATAATGAAAGGAGTCACGAGCGACTTTTTTTTTTTCAGCTGACTCTCTTGTGCTGCTATTATGATACAGTAATTTAGCAATCTGCTTTTAAAACCGTAAAAGCATATTTTGACTTTTGGGATAAACGCTTTTCAAAAGTCAATCAACTGTACCGAGAGCGACTTAAAAATACACCACGAACGTAACACATGGAGGATAAATATCGCAACCCTTGAGTCCTACATTTCATCACTGGACCTTGAAATTGAATTTATGTCGTGTGTGTGTGACATCAATCAAATGCACACATGGCATGCAATATTTTGTTTCTGTGTTTTCTGATCCATCTCATTGTCAACCCCGCAAACAATCCCGATTTTCGACTCAGTCGGCTACAGCAAATTTTTACGAGCGTTTGGGTGGTTCTCACACACTAACACGCAGTTTGAACCTCTCACTGACACCAAAGTGAGATAATAACACGAAGACAGAAAAGGCCACTCGTACGCGCGCACGCACGCATGCGGGCACTCGAAAAACACATAAAGCTTGAACGTTTGTGCAAAACCTGACGAGCAGGAATGTTGCATCTCAGCTTCAACCAACACCGGGTCACTTACTGTTCAACAAAAGGGCACAGAAAGGATTCCAGTAAATTTCCACTCAGATTTAATGATAATTGTTTCGTGAAATTGACATTTTTACGATCGGGGCATATCAGTTTTCTGCGCATGCGCCGCTTAGCGGAAGCTAAGTTCGAAAAATGCTAACACCGCGGCGCATTCCAACAAAAGTAAATTCAGCTCTGTTTTGGCTTTCTTACAATGTCGTATTTGCTTCGAATTTGTACCTTAGCTTAATGTCGTCTTCTTATTGGTCTCCCGCAGCTTGCTATGCCAAGAACTTTGGCCCGAAAGGATTCGGCTTCGGCCAAGGAGCGGGGGCACTGGTCCACGCCGAGTGACAACATTGTTGCAATTCCTCGCCGCTTTTTTTTTTTTTTGCTTTTAATCCTTCTCAAATAAAACAGTACACCCCATCCACATAAAACTTCACATTTGACTGTCTTTTATTATTAAAGCCATTAAAACTGAACCATGCCCATGTTTTACATCTGAAGCGGAGTTAAAGTGATGTGGGCAGAGAGAGAGAGCGAGAGGCACTGGAAATGATATCCTATTTTCCTGTGTATGTATTTTATAATATATATGTGCTGTATGTCCCCAGAACACAACTGACCTTTTTTTTTGTGGAAAGAATTCGCAAAACGGGGCTGCTTTTGGTGTGTTGATAGGCTAAGAAAAATAAAACAAAAAAAAAAACACCAGGCCCATCTCACATGATCACATTTCTGCTGTTAGGAAAAGAAAAAAAAAGTTTGTCTCGTGTCTTTGCTTTACAATTTGTACATCCAGTGGTATAACAAACCCATATGTGACATTTAAAAAATACAAAAAAAGAAAAAAAAAGGGATGAGTACAGTCCACAAGCATGGAATATAATACACAGTCGAGGGGTTCACTAAACACTGGATTTGAGGGTTAATCAAACAAAACGGAAGAGAATGCACTTGCCAAGACGTAACACTGAGTATATACAGTGGCCCCCGGGGGCGGCATCATACATGCAAGTGTGGGACACCAGTGTTGGACATCACTAAAAGCTACAGTCACTTCTTCATGTCCTTGTCATTTTGTCCCCCTCAAAAAAAAAAAAAAATCTGGATTATTTATGTACACATTCTTTACACTTCGCCTCACATACAGGGAAAGTAAACAATGGGGGAGGAAAAAAGGTGCTGCTGGGGCCCTTTTGTTCAGTAACACCCCCCTCAAACAAAAAAAAAAAAATCAGTGCAAGTTTGGAGGCAGACCAAAACAAAAAACATACATCAAAGTGGACAGCTTTTTGATACAAACACTTGGAATGAACCTTCCTTTCCTATAATCCGTAATAAATACACCATCCAACAGCTACAGCTAGACTTTTAATATAAAAAGCCAACTCATCTTTAAAAAAAAAAAAAAAGTCAAGAAATGATGGAGGATCTCATCGATAAATACGTTTTCAATAAATATACCTGGAACACTTTTTTTTTTTTTTTGCCGGTCCAGAACGCTGATAAAAAGACATTCCCTTATCCGTAAATAAAAGAACCTAAGAGTGAAGAGGGGATACTGCAACCGCATCTCTACCGGTACCAGAGGTGCTTTGATTTTGTGACGTTTTTGTTGTCCATCTCCCTCTAATAGTGGTGACAAGGGTGGGGGGGCCGGGGGGGGGGTTGCCCCTCGACAGCATGCGAATCC